TGTAAAAAGTCCCTCTCCGACTTTCTCTCAGCTGCCTTGAAGCAGTGGAAGGCCACAATTAGGTCACCCCAAAGCCTCCTCCTTTCTTTTCTGGCCGAGCAATCCCAATTATCTCAGCCCTTCCTCACAGCACAGCTCTGCTCATCTCGGTAGCTTCCTCTAGACTCGCTCCAACACCACAAAATTTGTAGGACAGTTCCTTTTGCCTAACGCAGTCCTTTTCCTCTGCCCTTTTTCGGGATTCTGCTGGTATTCAGGCGGCTGGCTGGCAGAAGAAAGCCCCTTTGGGGGCATTGTCACAGCGCAGCGCTGCGCTCTCCTCCGCGCTGCCGCCTCGAGGTGCCAGCTGCACAGCCCGCCCGCAGGGTTAAAAGGGAATATTTCTCATAAAGAAAATCACTTCCCTGTGCTCGCCCCGAAACAGGCAGCTCTCAGCTGAATTAATCCCCGCGGAGCGCTTGCGAACATTGCGAACATAAAGGAATGTGTCCTGCAGCACAAACACAGCGCGCCCGGCTAATGCTCTGCTCCCTGAAAGCCAAAATGCCCGCCTGCACCCCTGCAGGGACTGGGATTTCAGCTGCACCCAGGCAGATTTCAGCGGCAGAGCATTATTATTTTTAATTGGTCATAAAATAAGCGCTCTTTTGTGTCCCTGTGTTGGCTGGCTTAGTTTGTGTACTTGCTTTTATTAGGTCTCCCTAATCTCTACAGACTAACTGAGGCACGGGCCCATCCCTTCCTCACAAAATCAGGGAATTGCATACTTAGGGCCAGATTTAGACCTTCTGGAGATCACAGAGTGCTTCCTCACCTCTTTCCATCCATGGATTCAAGGGGATCCATGTATCAGCTCTCTGAAGGGAGAAGAAGGATGAAAACCCCCTGCTTGGGGTTCTGCTAACAGCTGGATTTGGTTCCTGCTGTGGGATTTTGGCTTAATTAATTTGAATGTTTCCAAAACAAAAATGTGTATTTCTCTGCTCTTAACCATCCTCAAGGAGAAAAATGAAAACACTGGTGGTGTCTGGAGCATGGCTGTTTCATTCTAAAACACAGTGCTCTTCCCACCCAGGCATCCCAATTCCATGTGTTATCCATGGGAAAGACCCCAAAAGTCTCTGTGGTGGGAGCTTTCAGCCCCTCTTTGCTATTTCAGAATGGGCTGTACAGGGAGGGATGGACTGGCAGTACTAGCACTGCACTTCTTTAAAACCTGGGGATTTGAGGGTTTAGTTTAACCTCAAGTTTTGAAAAGCAAAAGAAAGCTGCAGTCCCTGAAGTCCCTCTGGGTATTATGTGTGTGAACAACCATATTTATTTATGTGTGTGAACAACCACATTTCAGATGATGGAGGCTGGACTCAATGATCCTGGAAATCTGTGTTTGATTCTCTGTTTCTGTGAATCTGTGAAGCTGAAGGTTAAATGTCAGAGCAGGGCTTAGAGTCAGCCTGCTTTGGAGTGATGGATCCAGTGCTATTTTTTATTGTCAGCCCAATTTTGTAGTGGAATTTGTAGGATGGGGGGGAAATATCCAAGGGAACTGACAGATGGTTCATGTTTTAGCTGAGACTCCAATATGCACGTGGAGGGCTTCCTCAGCACTTTATCTCTGGGGAAATTGTGATATGTGGTGTACCTTGGCATTAACTGCATGGATTTTGTTGAAGGATGTGAAGAAGAGCGAGGGCTGTGCCGTGATTCCGTTATGGATGTGAGCCCTGGTCCTCCTGGGCTCTATTCCCAGAGCAACTGCAACAGATTCCAGCGACCTTGGGCCAGTCAGCAGAAGCCTGGTTCTACTCTGAAGAGTGAGTGTGTAAAAATGGCATTTCCTACTCAGCAGATCTGGGCTCTGTGTGCTCTCCAAGTCACATCTGCTGACTTTGGTGACAAAAATAAGTTCTTATGGCTTTCCTGTTCAGGAACACGAGGGCTGGGAAGCAGAAGCTGGATCCCGTGCCTCCTTGTAGGATTGATTACTGTAAATCCCAGCCAGCAGTGGGGCTGCACTGGCACCACTTGGCCTTGCCCAGCTTTCCTGTCAGTGTCAGCAGCGAGATACATGGAATAAAGGAATCCAAGTAGATTCTCCTGACTGAGTTTCAATTGCAGTTGACATTTATCAGGTTTGCAGTTGGAGGAAGAAGAAATCTGTTCATCCGTAACATGGTTACATTCAAAATAATTCACTGGTCACAAACTTTTTCAAAGTGGAGTTGTTTAAAACAAACTTCCCTCTCTGTGGCAGGGGATGCTGTTCTCACTCTCCCTGAATTACTCATGGCTACTCTATTCCAGTGACTGCTGTTTAGTAGGAAGAGAGACACCCCTTGAAACAGATAGTGTAAAGGTGAGTCTTGTGATGGAGATGTGCACTGATTTGTGTGCTGGATGTCCCCAATATTCAATTTGGGAAAGTCATTCAGCAGCAAAATTAATGGCAACTATTTTAAAATTGCCTTTACCTTCTGTGGCATGTCCTGACATACTTAGGAGAGCTGAAACATCTCCTCACAGGTGCCAGGAGTAGCAGCATAAGGTGCAGCATTCTGCTGTCAGGACAATGATTTTTTAGTTCATTTTATACAGGCAAAATATATCTTCATATAAATTTTTATGTGACCTAGTCTCTTAATTAGGACATGCTGTTGGTACATTTTGGGTTCTGCAATAAGGCAGTGACAGGAATATCACCTGTGAAAGAAATCTGATGTAACATTACTTTGTACAACAGAGCCAGCTGCTGTAATAATACACAGATTTTACAAGAGGCTCTTACAAAAATTAGGTATTGTTATTTTACAGAAGAAGTGGAGGCTGAGAGCAGTGAAATTCTGTTTGAAAATCCTCTAAAAAGGCAGAGCTGGGAATGGGACATGAGTCCCACTCTTTCCCAGCTACGCTACCTGCATGGAAGAATGAGCCTGCTTACATCCAAATTTAGTCTCTGACTTCACCTCAGGTGAGAAGTTCTGAAGGACAAGACCTACAATAGAAGATTGTACTGAAATGTCTCAACCCAGAGCAAGGGTGAAAGAGGAGAGGAGTGGATGTTTCTTAACTTGCTGTGGAAGTGGGGCCTGTTTTACTTGGTTACAGGTATGCTCCATGGCATACTGATCTGAGTTAGAAATCAGTGTTTCCAACTAACAAACCATAGAAAGGAATAACAAAAGAGTGCTCTCTGATGATTTCTGATTTCTGCCTCTTTCATCATGCCTTTTCTTTCAGTCTGCAGATATTTTTGTTGATAACGCAGAAGCCTCTGATTTTGGCAGGTTATGCGGGGAAGAGAAACTTGCAGCGTACAGGGAATGTGCAATTTTAGGCAGGGAAAAAAACCACAGATAACCAGCTATTTTGGTTCCAGTGCTTAGAAGTGAAATATTTAACCTTGAGAGGACACAGTGCCAGTCTGGGTTGGGAGTCGATGGCAAGGGGGAAGTGAAAACCTCTCCAGTCTATTAAGTGCTCTGCATCCTTGGAGAACACTAAATCATCCCCTACACATGCTTTACATTTTAAGTAACTTTCCCAATAATTGTAAAGGTTAGATAGAAATGGGACTGAAAACAGTCATAGAATCACAGAGTGCTTTGTGTTGGAAGGAACCTTAAAAATCATCTTGTTCCAACCCCCTGCCATGGGCAGGGACACCTTCCACTGGAAGATCCCTTGTTCTGAATCCCAGGCCAGCTCTTAGGGGGGAATTGTGCAGCTGCTGAAGCCCAGCCCCTGGACTCATCCCCGAGGGCTCTGATTTCTGCTGGAATGGGCCCTGTTTTCCTGCCTCTTTCCCCACACACGAATGACTGAACATCTTGGGAATCAATCCCAGAGCCACCACAAGGTGCAGTGCTGCTCTTGAGAATTGATTTTGGTCTCCTGGAAAATCTGGCTGCCCCATTAACTTGGGAGGTGGCACCTCCTGCATGGCTGAGCCACCCCCTCCTCTCAGCCAGAGCCCTTGGCCAAAATGAATTGGCCAGGACAGAAGTTGAACCTGTGAAGAGTTTTGAGTCCCTAATCCGGGAGTTAATGGTGTTTAAAACACATCAAAAATGCAGCTCTTACCTCTTCCTTCCCTCCCACCCCATCTCCCCAAGAGGAAACATCCTTTCTTTTCACATATTTGTATTTTATTTATGAAGATGCCACAGCACTAGAAATATTGATTAATGAATAATTTCCCCCGATTTTACAGTTCAGAGAGGCAAAGCCAAAAAGGACTTTCCCCATGGTTTTAAGTGACAATTTCCTCCCCCAAGCCTAACTCTGAAGTTCTTTCTGATGCCTTTTGTCACTGGCTGTCTTTATTGCTGACACAGGCACTTTGACACTTTATTTTCAACTCATGCAGGGGTTAGCAATATTTCCCTGAAAAAAAACTGCCCTAACTTGCAACAAATCTGTCTTTTGAAAGTTTTAATATTGGATGCACAGTGCTACAACCAAATGAATTGGGTTGAAGCCAGTTTGTTTGGAATCCAGTAGAAAACACACTGTTCCTCTAAAATTAAACAAATAAGACTTTGGGATGTGTTTAGAGACACTAATATAAATGTTATTACCAGTAGCACAGTGAACAGAAAAAATAATGACCAATTTGTTGATAAGGAATGTCTCATTTTCTTCCACAAGTGCTGTTGTTTATTTAGAGAGCTAAGTGACCCGTGTCAGCAGGTTATATCTCCCTTTGTGTAGAAAAAAAAAGTTTATTTTTCAGTTTGCTAGCATAACTGGAAGATTCCCTGATTAGCTTTGTGGTAGACCACGTTCATTAAGAAGTCAAGATTTTAACTCTCCTCTCCTACACCTTCCCTCTACTCCTTCCTAGCAATTCCACCCCCCAAAATTCCCCCACCCCAGTCATTGCCTCCTGTGAGAGATCATTGTTTTTGGTCTCTCCTCACCTGTCCCTGCCCAGCTCAAACTCCTTGCACCTGCTAGTCCTGCCTGAGAGGGAGTATAAAACCCTCTGTGTGCACCAGGGCCCCTGTACTGCCCCTGGCACTGGGCTTGGGAGAAGGAGAGGAAGCTGAGCTGCTTTCATCTTTGGGGTTTGGAGTCAAGGTAGGGGCTTCTGAGCTGCTCTTTGGCAAAGTGATTTGATGTGTGAGCCAGGACCTGATGTCTAAAGGTTTTCTTGTTAGTTATGGGTGTTTTACTGGGAAAAAAAATAGGTGGGAGGAGGAAAGCACAAGCAAAGCTGTTTGCTCTTCTCTGTACTGGTCAAATAGGTAGGGCTTCTGAGCTGCTCTTTGGCAGAGTGATTTGATGTGTGAGCCATGGACCTGATGTCTAAAGGTTTTCGTGTTAGTTATGGGTGTTTTACTGGGGAAAAAAATAGGTGGGAGGAGGAAAGCACAAGCAAAGCTGTTTGCTCTTCTCGCCCGTGCGGCCGCGGGGCTGGGGCAGCGCCGAGGCACCGGGCGGCGGCGGCAGCCAGGTGAGGCCGGGACACACACACACACACACACCAGCACCGGCATCGCGCCCCCGAGCCGCGTTTGTCCCGGGGTTACGCTTTTTTAAAAAAAATTGATTTGTGGCTTTTTCCGACGATGCTCGGCTGCCCGCGGGGCAGCGCATCCTCGGCGCGGCTCTTTGTTCGCGGCGGGCGGCTGGTCCCTGCAGGGCCCGCTCCGCTCCGCCCGTGCGGCCGCGGGGCTGGGGCAGCGCCGAGGCACCGGGCGGCGGCGGCAGCCAGGTGAGGCCGGGACACACACGCACACACCAGCACCGGCATCGCGCCCCCGAGCCGCGTTTGCCCCGGGGTTACGCTTTTTTTTAAAAAAAAAATTGATTTGTGGCTTTTTCCGACGATGCTCGGCTGCCCGCGGGGCAGCGCATCCTCGGCGCGGCTCTTTGTTCGCGGCGGGCGGCTGGTCCCTGCAGCCCCGGGGGATGGGGAAGGGGCAGCGGGGGCTGCCGGGGTGGGGGTCCCGGTGGGCTTCCCCCCCCCCCCCCCCGGAGGTCTTTGGGGGTGGGTGCGTGTTTGTCGCGGAGGTGGTTCGGGGGTGACCGCCGCTGTCCCTCTGTCCTGCTGCGGGCCTGGGCGGGAGGAATTCCCGGGTGGTTGTTCGCACTTCATCCCCTGCCCGGTGGGGAGAGAATGCAGTTCTGGGGTGTAAAGTCACCTGGAAACATGACTAAGGAGGACGGGGAGATGGAGCTGTGCCCAGGCGTGCTGGGTGTCATCAAGCCTTGAGCCAGCCCTAATCCCCTTCTCTGGGGAGCTTCTGCCCAAGCCAAAGGGCCCGGCAAGGTGCATTTAATCTGCTCTTAAACCTTCACTCGCGATCCTCCAGCTCTCCTGTGCGGTGTTTCTCTCGGCGTTAGGTGAGGCGCTGAAATTGTGGAGCGTTTCTTGCTGCTTGGCATCCGAGCGCTGTCCCCGTGCTCGCAGGCAGGCTGGGGAGCGGCGTTTCTGTCCTTCTGCTGCCTGGAAACTGCTGCACCCTTTGGCCCCATTCTTCAACACCCCCTCCTCCCCGTCTTAATCCCTCAGGAATTCGGCAGACCTTAGACTTTTGTGGTGCCGGGGACCTGGCACGGGTCAGAAGCCAGGGAGAACTATGCAGCTTTTGCTGGCAAATGCGAGCAGGGATTTCCATAGGTGGTCCGTGTGCCGTTCCGAACAAAGCGAGCGGTCGCTTGGTGGTTGGGGGAATAATGCCTAAAACATGTCATGCCTCTGGCTCCTCAAAGAACTCCAGCTGGAATGCCGAGGCTGGAAGTGGAGGTGATGTATTATGTATTAAGGTGCCTCACTGGGACTGGTGGGAAGCTGGCCATGCAGAATATTAATATCTCATTTGTTTGCCTTTAAGGATGCGTCCTCAAGGGTAGGCGAGGATGTGCCCCTCTGCTGTGTGCTTGTCTCGACATAATTTCTCTCACCTGACTTTGTGTTGGCGGCAGGCGTAGAGTTGTGCCGCTGCTGGGATTTCACTGAGCTGTTGGAGGTGGTCGAACTGGTCGAGGTCTGCTTACCTGAAGTGTGTTCTGGAAGGGCATCAGCTCCCCAGTCCTCTCGGCTGGGCTGGGCAAGGACATAAAGCCAGATGAGATGATGGCATTTTTCTGGGCTTGTGCACAAAAGTAGGAGTTGGAGCTCTGCAGTGTATTATCTGCTGCCTTTTGTATTCAGCACAAGTAATGAGGCTTGGATGGCATACATTAGCACCCTCTAACAGAGCACTTGACGGCTGGCAGTTGTTTGACTTGTATGTTTTGGCTAAATCTTCCCATTAAAAGATTTGCAGCTTTTTTTTGTCCGGTTCCCTTACGAATTGTCAGTGAATTTCGGAGCTGAGCTCGCCCAGGACTGTTCAGGCAGCCCGGGCTGGCACCACGCTTGTGCTTGGAGGTGTGAGAAGCTCTTTTCAAAGGCAAGGCAGCCTTGGCTGGGGCTGACCTGTTCGTCTCCTGCTCTCTGCTTTATGATGCATGCAGAGTGTCCTCTCTGTGTCAGAGGGATTGTTAGAGCAGAGTTATTAATTCAGTTTAAAACTTGGTACTTGTTTTTTTTCCATACTGTTTCAACAACTTGGGTAGAAACAAAGCCATAACTTGTCAAAGACAGAAAATAATAGCTATTTTTAATTGTTTTTTTGGGGGGGGGAGGCGGGAAGGGAGTTGTTTTCTCTAAGTAAGCTGGCTGGGTGAAGCTCTTAAAAAGCTCTCGGAGGGAGTAACTGCACGCAGCTGGGACAGAGGGGGAGCTTAATCCTTTGCAGCATGTCTCCACAAACCACTGGTCCATGCAAGGAGCAGCTATTGAAGGAGAGACATCTGCTCTGCTCTGTGCTGGTCCCCTGCAAGCCTGCCCTGCTGGAGTGGCCGTAACAGGCTGGGGCTCCTTCTGGGCTGGCTTTTGTTGGGCCCCCCAAGAGCTGATCTCAAAGAAGTCTCCAGAATTCAGAGGGGTTAATGGTTTAATAACTACTGCAAGTGCTAATTGTATGGAGCAGGCAAGCAGCCTGGCTTAGAAAGATCCAACTGAGTCTGAGACTGCCTCAGCTGGTGACCAATTTATATTTATTGTCCCTCAGCTTCCTGACTTCCCCACTGAGGTAGATGGTTCTTATTCTTGTGGGTAGCTCCTGGAGATGTCCAGTTTTGGCCTGTTTTCAGTCTAGCAGTTCTTTGTGTGTTTTTTTCCAGCCTCCCAGGTGTTAAAAGAAAAGTTATTATTTTCTGTGCTGAAGATAAAGCTCCCTGGCTGCCTGCAGTTGCGCTGCCTTTGCGGCTGGAGGAACTGCATCTCCTGGGATTTGTTGTTATCGAGTGCAGGGGAAGTAGCTGGCACTGTCTCTTGCCCTCAGTGTGTGTTTCCCATTGGAAGCAAGGATTAGTTTTTCCACTGAGAGCTTGGCCAGTGCTTGGCAGCTGCCTCCAGGGCTTCAGCTCTGAGGATGCCAGGTGAAATCTGGGGACAGGGAGTTCCTGTGGTATGAAATATTGAGTTACTACCTGCAGGAAAGCTCAGGCTTACTACAGAGGAGGTGCTTGGTCAGGGCAGTGTGTTCCAGCCTGGCTGGGGCTGGAGAGCAGGCTGGCTGTAAAAATAGCCAGATGGGAGGATAAATGTAGCTCGGTGCAGCTTGAGGAACAGCCTGCTCTGCAGCCAGGTACCTGCATCTTCTGCGTTCAGTGGAAGTGCTTCAGCAAGGTGTCAAACTCTGCTTAAGGAGCTAGCCAGGTCACTGCTGTTCATACACTCTCTAATCCAGCCTCTTCCTAAAGCTAAGTAGATGTTAAGCCCTGACTAATCTTCTCTGAAGTGTGAACCTGTGCCATTATCCTGCAGCAAGCTCTGTGCCACTATCTCCAGCTTTCACTGAGTCTGAAGGTCTAGGTTAGCTCACACCTGCCTGTTGTGGATTTCCTGAGCAAATAGCTCTCCAATATGATTTTTGCCCTATAGAAATATAGGATTATGACCAGCAGGGCTTTTCAGATTGGTAGAAACAACATGAAGCTGCCCTGAAGGACCCTAGGAACTCTTTTATCAGCCTGGTATTGAGTGTCCATGTTATCTACTCCCAGAAGGAGGAAAGGTTCTGGTAAATATGGAATAAGCTTGTTGGGAGGAGATGATCATTTTGGTTCTTTGGCTAACCACGTCTTGAATATCATGGGCTGTTTGAGAGCCTAGAGCTAGAAAGCTACAAAATATCTGTACAGATGTGTATATACATATGTATAATGTATATGACTGCAAGAGAAGTGCTTCTCAAGTGCAGCTGGAGTTGTGTTATGTTTAAGCATTGCTGAAAGCATTTGTGCCACTTAAATGCTCCTGACTTCTTCAGAAGCTGTGTTTAAAGCAAAACTATTTTTTAAATAGAGGAAACCCAACTTCTTGATGTTTCAATATTCCTGCTCTTAACAGGCACTTGCTAAAGGGGTGTTGAGGTGAAATGATTTATATTCATCTGCATGGTGAGGCAGATGCGTGTAGTTAGGCACTAACAATTTAACTTGCATAATATATTCTTAGTGCTTTTTAATTACAAAAGTGCATAAAGAATTAGCCTGGGAAAAGAGCTAAATATTGTCAGTTTTCAGCTATTTTTCTACGGAGAGGATATAGAAAATAGATGGGTGGCCACCCATCCTTCAGAGATAGAAGATGCTAAAAATAAAGGTGTCTAGGCTGGTGAGGAGTTTTTTGGTGGCTTCTGCTTGTCCCTGAGCACCTGGTGCATGTGTGTGGCCTGTGATGGGGAATTATTCCAGCAGCTCAAACTGCTGGGATGAGGCTTCAGGGAGAATGGAAAAAGTGACTCAGTGTGCCCTGAAGGCTCAGCCAGATGCTGGAGCCTGCAGTGGTTAATTGAGCTGTGCTGCTGCTCTCTCTGGGTACAAATGCGAGTGATGCTTCTGGATGTGGTGTCTGGGTGGGGAAATGAGGAGTGTGGCAAGTTCAGGGGTTTATCCTGGTGCCCATTAGCTGTGAGACTGCACAGGGTGACCTGTGCTCTTCTTTGGAAGACTGAGGGGTGGTTCTGACAACCCCAACCTCTTCCCTTGCTGATACTTGTTATTCCTGCGGCCCAAAGGGAAGAATAGTTCACTTGGGAATGATAAAATCTCACCTCATTCCATCCTCTGCCATGGGCAGGGACACCTTCCACTATCCCAGGCTGCTCCCAGCCCCATCCAGCCTGGCCTTGGACACTTCCAGGGATCCAGAAGCAGTCACAGTTTCTCTGGGTAACCTGTGCCTCATCACCCTCAGTCAGCAATTTATTCCTAATATCTAATCTAAACCTGCTCTTTGGCAGTTGAAAGCTGTTCCTTTTTCTTCTGTCCCTCCATGTCCTTGTCCAAAGTGTCTTTCCAGCTATCTTGGAACTGCTTTAGGCACTGGAAGGTATTCCAGTGTGTCCCTGGAGCCTTCTCTTTTCCACCTTCAGCTCTCTCAGCCTGTGTCTGTAGCAGAGGTGCTCCAGCCCTGTGATCTACTTGGTGACTTTTCTTTGGACTTATCCTGACAGGTCAAGTTCTTTCTCATGTTGGGGGTCCCAGAACTGGGGGAACACTTGAGAGAAAGCACTTGAAGCTGCTGATGGCTGGAGGCCCTTGCAGGAGGGCTTGGCTGTGCCCCTGAGCAGCTGCCAGCCCTGCTGTGACAGGGGGATGTTGGTTGTGTGCATGGCACTGGTGTGACCACTGAGAGGGACCTTGGATGGGATGGTCCTCTGCTCTGGAGTGGTGGAGTTGGAGAAGCAAGCCCAGGACTGAGGCACATGCCCAAGGGAGGTGTCTGGAGCTGTGTGCCTGGAGGCAGCAGAGCGTGCCAAGGGCAGGCTGTCAGCTGGCTGCATCACTGCTGGCCTCCAGGTTCAGGGCTCTCTTGGAAACCCTCGGCTCGCACGGTGATTCTGGACACGAAACTCTCTGGAAGTGCCTCCGTGGTGCAGTGCAGCATGGGCACTGTGCTAGTGCTGCAGTGCTGCTCTCTGGGCTGGAGCTTCCTCTGTGGGGCCAGGGACCTCAGCCAGGGCTTGATGCAGCCCTAGAGCCTCCTGGTGTGGCTCTGGTGCTGTGTTGTCCCCCACAGACCCTTGTTCCGTGGTCTCCTCCTGTGCCAATGCACACAACAGGGCTGGCCAGGAGAAACCTGAGCCTTCATGGCCCTGACAGGCATCATTTTTGGACTTGGTTCAGGACAAACAGGATGATCCACACCACTGCTTGCAGGTCTGATGCCTGCTGGGTAGAGCATAGCACTCTGCTGCTGGGGTGGGAGCTGGGCAAGGTCTGTCCTGGGCTTCAGATCAACATTTGGTTTCTGTCTGGCATTTTCAGGTAGGGTAGGCTGAGAAGAGTAAAACAGATGGGGAAATTCATTGCTTGGAATGTGTGGGAGGGGTCTGCTTACAACTGACCATGGACTTGGTCTCCCTTTATTTAAGGCCCTGGCTCTGTGGTTGGTTATGGATATGTGAAATCTTGGTTCCTTTTTCCCCTTCTAGGTCTCTGGATTTGTCAGCCTTGGAGGCTTCTGGACACATCTCCTCTCAGCCATGAGGAGATCAAAAGGATTTAATATCTGTGTGCTCACCTGCAGCATCCTGCTCTTGTCCTCCAGCCTGCCATGCCTTGCTCAACCTTTGGAGGAGGGGGATGTGACCAAGGTCCAGCATGGCCCCTGGGCAGGGAACGGGCTGGAAGGTGAAAGGACAGCCATGGTGGACTTGAAAAACAATCTGGGCCCTTCTGAGCAGACAGTTTCTGAGGAGCCATGTTCAGTGTCAGTGCAGCCAGCTGGGACACCCTTGGATGAAGCTGTCACTGCAGGAGAAGCACTCCCTGCCAGCCCGAGCCGTGCTGTGCCCAGCAGCCAGGGCCTGGGGGGACACCCCTCTGCTGGGCATGAGCAGGAGCTGGCTCCCACTGAGCCACAGCTGGATGAGGATGAAGCCCTCAGGGCCATGCTGACCACAGCTGTGACCACGCTGAGCCCTCCAGTCCAGGAGGAGTCTGGTGGCCCCGCTGGTGAGGCCACAACAGAGGGTGGGGTGGCAGTGGAGCCCAGCTCTGCTGGCCTCTCAGCAAACCCCCTTTCTGGGACCACTGTGGAGGAGGAAGTAGAGAGCAGCTCACAGCCCTCAGCTGTGCCCCAGCCCATGCTGAGCCCCAGCTCTCCCAGCTGGGAAGCAGAAGGTGACCACCCTGTCACCCCAAGTGCCCAGGCTGCAGGTGTGACCTCTGGGCTGGAGATGCTGAGAGCCCACACAGGGAGCCCTCTGAAATCCCTGGCTCCACCAACATCTGTGGCTGCCAAACATCCCCTTGTGGCAACTGAGGCCTTCCTTCACCCAGAAGCAGGGACAGGTGTCACACAACAGGAGCTGCCCACTACGGCTGGCACTGTCACCATCCCCACTATGGACACTGTGCCACCTGACTGGGATGACACAAAACTGGGGGACATCACTCAAGGGGGAAGCATGTTTCATGAGGAGGTGACAGAGGAGCTGGGGACAACAGAACCATCCCAGACCACGCAGGAAGGTGAGGAAGAGGATGCCACAAGAGCAGTGCCCTCCCCGGTGTCCCCTCCACCAGCGCCTGAGCTTGCCAAGGAGAGCAACTGCACAGTGCCAGTGCAAGGGGAGGAGCTGCCAGCAACTTCCCCAGGCAGCAGCACTGCTTTCCACCCTGGGAGCCTGTCAGAGGCAGGCACAGCTGATCTTGGCTTGCTGGAGAACATAAGTGCAGTCCCAGCAGAGGAGGAGAGGAGCGTCCCTCCGTCACAGCCGGAGGCTGCTGTGGTGACAGATACCCAGCCTGAGCTCTCTCCTACTCTGGAGAGTTCATGGAAAGGTAAAACTTGCCTGTTACAGACACTTGCCTCTCATTTCTGGGATTTAAAGTGAGCTGTGCCAGCAGCCTGTGAGCCACTGATGTCTTAAATGCCTTGACAAGAGTGCTCAGGTCTAGGGGTCTGTGCAGAGAGCTCCTGGCCCTTGTGACCAACTCCTGGGCTTGTCCCCTCACCTCATGGTGAGACTGTGGCTGCCCAGTGCTTGTCCCCACTCTTACCTGCAGGCAGAACTCCTGGACAGCCTGCCACAGGCTGAGGGTGTCACCTTGCCCTGCACCTACGTCCAGAGGTGGCACCTTCAGCCTCATGACAGCATTCCTACTTGGTGTTAAAAATGTAAAGGAAATGCTAAAAAAAAAAAAAAGGCAGGTCAGGTGTTGGGCATGTTTCTAGGTTGATGAGGACTTTTTAATTGCTGGGCATCTTTATTCTTCCCTCTTTGGCTGCAGATGCAAAAGGATGATTTCCTTTCACTGCATCCAAAAGACCTAATTTTTGCTGTAAAAGAAAGGAAGCTAATTGCAGGCTGGTGCTGCAACCTGACTGATTAATTTCTCGATTAATTTATAAGCACTTGACTTGTCAGCAGGCTGCCTCTCTGCTGTTTCCCAGATGTTGGGGAAACAGCACTGTCTATTAAGGCTTGTGCCTCCAAAATAAACCCTTCTGCATAGCTGGGAGCTTGACCTGCTGCTGGCCCTGTGGCTCTGGAGTTGTTAAAGCATGGGGTTCTGTTCCTTTCATATCGCTTCATTTGTGTGCTCTGCTGCTGTCAGCTGTCCTGTGAGCCTGCCCTGACACGTGTTCTTGCTGTAGGTGCTGCTGAGGAGGTGACAACAGCTGCCCAGGAGGCTGTGACAGAGGCTGCTGCTGTGCCAGCTGTGCCAGAGGTGCCCGGTGGCACCCAGGGAGCAGGGGCTGCCAGCTTTCCTCAGGAGAACAGCGGGGAGGACACCCAGATGCTGACAGCTCCCAGTGCCACCCAGGTGCTGCTGGCAACTGGAGCTTCCTCCACAGGGAGCCCTGTGGATGCAGAAGGTAGGATTCTGCTTCAAGGACTCCCTCCCACACAAGTTGGGGTGGTTCATCTGGAACCAGTGTCACACTCCAGTCTCAATGCAGCATCCTTATTTATGTGACTTTTTTTGCTAGCCTTTTGCCCTCTAAACCTGGGCTGCCACTGCTTTCTGCCCATGCCATGAGATCCACCACACTGGAATTTGCCAGCATATGGATTTTTTGCCCCAAATAAGTGGAGTAGAGCTTAAAAAAAAAAAAATGCCCCTAACCAAACAACCCCCCTACCTGTCCTTGCTAGCAATCTGCATTTAGCTTTAGACACTTGAACAGTTTTTGATTTATGAAGGAAGAATTCTTACTTCTGGACCCCAAGGCAGTCACAGATTGCTGATGCTCAGTCCAGAGGATGAAAATGTTGCATCAGGGTTCCATGGGAGCCAGTGGGGGGGGAAGGACACCCTCCTGCCAGAGCCTGGCAAGCCCTTGGGTGTGGAAGCCTGCAGTGATTTCACCTCCCCTGAGGAGTGGGGGATGTTTTCAGGTTGCTGTAGCTCATACAGAAGTGCTTTAAGCAGTCATGTTCATGTAGCTGCTGCCTGCTGGTTTGGTGTCACCTTGGCAGTGCCTGTTGGAGCCTGTCTTCTGACAGGAGTGTAGCAAGGGCTCCCTCAGCACGAGGCTGGCTTTGAGCTGGAGTGTGTTTCTGTATTACTGGGGACCACTGTAATGAAAATGGTGCTGGGCAGCTTTGCTGGCAATTCTTGTGTTGCAGGAGAAAAAGAGAAAAAAAGCTGTTTGCATTGTATCTCTGAATTTAGGGTCTGTTTGTAAGGGGGAGAAGGTTCTTCTGGCAGTTTGCACTAATTGAATTTGCTTCTGGGATTTAATTATAAATTCAACCAACTTTTATCTTTGTAATGAACTGTTAGAACTGTCACTTGGCTCACTTCTCAGCTGGTGGCTTGGTGCTCTGATCTTGCAAGGGTGTGGTGATCAATAGTCCTTAAAGCAATGGAATTAAACCTTGAAGGGTTCCCCCCTCATTAAGGGGAACCTCCTTTGCTGGCTGCCCTTGAGGAGAAGGTTTCATTACAGCAGAGTCACATCTCAAAGGAAGCAAAAGCTTAGTGACTTCATTTGAGTTAAGTTTTCATTAAGGAATTTTTTTTGGGTTTCATAAGATCTTGTTAATGTTGAATGGTTGCTGTCTCCTGTAGATCTCACAGATGGGATCCTGGTCACCAGTGAGAAAGCTGTCCCAGCCCCTGGTGGGATGTCCTCCACCCCAGCTGGACAGACAGAGGAGCCAGCCAGCAGAACTGTGGTCCTGGTGACTCCAGCATCAGTGGCCTCCCCAGCCAGGAGAACATCTGTCCCCTCTGCCAGGAGGACCAGCACAGCTGGGACCTACGGGCTGGAGCGCCTGGAGTCTGAAGGTACCCCTGGGCCCCAGGGGGCTTCCTGTGCAGGGCCCCCCCTGCCCTGACAGCCCCCAGCTTCTCTGTTTGCCTCACGCCTGTGTGCACTGTTCCCAATAAAGGTGTTGGACAGCCTGTGCTCTCTCAGGAGGCACAGGAAGCAAGCAGTGAGCAGTGTCCTGGAGGATTTCTGAAATTCCCGTGCCTGTGGTGGGTGGGGGTGGGTTTTCTCCTGGCTAGGGAGCAGCAGTGGTGTTGCTGGGTCTGGCTCTGCACACCTGTAATCCACTGTGCCAGGGAACACCCACCAAAGGGTGCTGAGGCAAAGCAGATCCTGCCGTGGAGCTGGGCTGCAGCTCTGATCTGCCTCCTGTTCACCTCACCCACAATTTTCCTGCAGAGAGCTGCTCCTTGCTCCTTTTCCTACTTGAACTCCTCTCTGCTTGCTCATCCATCCAGTTCTGTGCTCCAGTCTCTGGGCTGATACCACCTGGCAGGAATTAATCTTTCTGCCTGTTTTTGCTCTCCTTCCTTTATCTTGACCTTCTCTTGCCTTAGTATTTTACTGCAAAGGTTGGCAGCTCTCCAGGGGTGGCATTGCCAGATGGTATTTCTCCTCTGAGTAGAGGTGGGGTGCTCTAGACTACAGCTCATCAGCATCTTTTCTCTGCAGGAAGCAATAACTCACTCCTGTGGAGTTTAGAGGGCAGCAGAAGCTGGGAGTCTCCCCCACTGCATGTGCCTGGCTTGCTGCTGGCTTTGAAGCCTTCCCTGAGCTCTCTGGGACTCCAACTGCAGCATTCTGCCCTTGCCAGGATGAATCTTGGATGTCTGTGGCAAGGCAGGGATGTGTGGCTAATGGGAGAGTGGCAGCAGGGGAAGGAAAGGTCGTGTGTGTAGGGAAAACCTGATCCTTCAGGCTGGGAAATAAGGTCTCTGCTTAGCAAGAGCAGTGTGATGCAGGAGGCTAAAGTGTTTTATAGCCCTCTGGGATCTCCTTTAGAAGCCTGGGTTTCTGCATGGCAAGATAAGAGGGATTTCAGTTTCAGCTGGGCATTGGTCTCTCTCAATTTAATGAGACCTTCTGCACAAGCATTAAAAAAAAAAAATCTTTCTGCTCCAATACAGGATTGATGCAACTTTCTTGGATTCATGCTGCACTGTTTTCTCTGTTCTGGGTTCCTCTGAAGGAAAATGTGGGCTGTAGCTGGGGCCAGGTGCCCTCAATGATGAGGACTCAAGTGGAAATTTGGGTTTCTTGGCTCTGCAGGTGCCTGTTCTCCAAGGGACATGGGGTTCTTTGTGCTGTGTAAATTTGATAGCTGGCACAGCTTTTGTGGTCTAAATCTCTTCTGCTCAGCCTCGACCTTTGTGCAGGGAGCCAGAAGGTTCCCTGGTGCTGGGGGGTCACGAATCCACATCTTGTAGAATGGGACAATTATCATTTGGGGAAAGGCTTTCTGCCTGGGGATGGTGCTGCCCCAGAAATGGGACAATTACAGTTATCATTTGGGGAAAGGCTTTCTGCCTGGGGATGGTGCTGCCCCAGTTAAGCACAAAGGAAGGTTTTTGAGCTACAACTCTGCTCTCTCAACATCTTTTTTTTTTTTTTTTTTTTTGCTTAATGGCAATTGGGAGGTATCACATGCTCATGGTGGAGTGGCATTTGCAAGCTTAGCTCCCAAAATTACAGATCCTGGTGTTTACTTTCAGAATGTTTAGATGCTGCCAGATCCAAGATGTTTGGGGGTGTTTTCCCTTAAAGCTATATGGAGCTCCAGCCCAGGACACTCAGTTTTTTGGGGGATGCTGTGGCAGGCACATGATTGGGTCCCTAATGAGGGATCTTGGCCCTTTGGGAGGGGCTCCCTGTTGGAAGAAGTGCAAGGAGCTGAGTGAGCTCTGCTGCCTGCAGTGGGGTCCTGCTGACTTGCCTCACTGAAGGCCTGGCTCATCATTAAATATAAACCCCTGCTGCTCAGGGTTTATATTTTATGTTTCTTGGGGACCATCTGTGCCAAACTGCCTGTGGTTAATTGCATCTGTGTATTCACCTGCCTGGCTTGGATGCAAAACTGTTTTAAAAATCAAATTGCACAGGCAAAATGAAAATATGTCTAGATGAGCTTATCCTCCTCTCTGGTGGACTCTGGAGGGATGAGCTGGGTAACAAATTTCCTCCTGCCTTGACTCCTTGGTGAGCTTGGTTCTACTTGCCCTTCCTAGTCAGAGGAAATCCTGTAAAGGGATTATAGGATGTGGGGACAGGACACAGCAGAGGATAAGGCTTGCTTGTCTGGGGGAATTGATTATGTATTTTGTCTCTGTGCCTAGAATTTTTGTCTCTCCTGCAACCTGAGCACTGCAGCTTTCTCTGTAGGGCTTCTGGTACAAAGAGCTACTGGCTCAGCTGGCTTAGGACCACTGTGGGAGCCTCCCAACACCCTTCAAAAAGTGACTCTGCAAAGAAACCACATTGCTTTTCAACTTGATTCTTGTGCTGTAACATCTGCCACGGTGTTGGCAGAGGTGGCTGCACATCCCCAGCCTGGCAGCATTTGGTAGGTGGGACTTTCTGAGGTGGCAGGACATGTGTCATGCTCCATCTTCTGCAGAATCTGTGCAGCTTCCAGCTGGAACCTGCTGGCAGAGCACGCCAGACTGGTGCTGTGGGTGAGGGTGAGTGTGTATCTGGCCCTGCAGACTCCAGATTTGGTTCTCCTGAGTGCCACCAGCCTGCCTGGACAGCAGAGAATTGTGGCACCACAGAATGGGTTGGGGTGGAAGTGACCTCAAACACCTTCTCATCCCACCCTGTGCCATGGCAGGAACAGCTCCCACTGCCCCAGGGTGCCCCAAGCTCTGTCCAGCCTGGCCTTGGACACTTCCAGGGACTGAGGGGCAGCCACAGCTGCTCTGGACACCCTGTGCCAGGGCCTGCCCACCTTCCCAGGGAACAATTCCCTCTGATCTCCTGCTGGGAGAGAGCTGCTCACACAGTTCAGGGGTCAGGAGGGTGCTCAGAGCTCTGATTAAAGCAGGAGCTGCTGTGCCTGTTGTGTGGTGTCAGGAGCAGCCAGGCTCTGACAATGGCAACTTAAAATCAGTGGCTCCCGAGGAGGAGGCCTTAACCAAGTGGCCCTTGAGTGTGGAGTGTTCCCAATTAATTAGGATGGCTCTCAGCTGGCTGGATTTGGAGTTTCATGTGCATTTGCAGCCTGCTGTGAACTATTTTGTGTACCACAGAACAACTTATGTTGGAAAAAACCTTCAGCACTGAGTCCAGCTTTTGACCAAACACCTCTGTGTCAACCAGACCACATCCAGTCTTTTCTTAAACACCTCCAGCCGTGGTGACTCTAACACCTCCTTGGGCAGCCCCTTCCAATGTTTAATCACCCTTTCTGAGAAGAAATTCCTCCTGAATACTTCAGAACTTGTAGCTACTTACATCAATTTATAAAAGATGCTTCAATTCCCCATTTTTCTTCTGAGCTGTGGCACAGTACAAGGAACCTCTTTTTTTTATGTGAAGGGTATTTTTCTCAGAAATTAAGGCTCTGAAGGGGATTGTTATTTGGACTTTGACTGTATGGATTAAGATCTGCCTCATTAAATCTCTACAACCCTGTTAAAAATTTAAATTAGGATGCAGAGGTGTAAATAAAACAGGCACTTAACCCAGCATGGTTAACTAGCCTGATATTATTGTTCCTCACCAGCTCTTTGGATAGCAACTAAATTGGCAAGGAACAGAAGCCTTAAAGCACGTGCAGAATGAATTATTAAATGGTTTTGGTACACACCTTTCTCTTGCATCTTGTTTGTTGCTCCCACTGAAATGGGAACTGCTCTGTGTTGACCTCTATCTTCTTCACAGCAGGTGCTGCCTCATCCCTCCTTTTCCTTTGTAGCAGAAAATGGTGAAAAAAAGTGACAACTTTTTGGATCAAACCCAACTTTTTTTTTTCTTTTCCCCTCTCTGTCCTGGAAGTGTTTGATACAGACATCCCCAGTTTTCCTGTACAGCCTCAGCCAGGGCCTCACTCCACTCATGGGCAAGAATTCCTTCCTAGTCTCCAGTCTAACCCTGTCCTGTGTCACATTGAAGCCATCCCTCTTCTCCTGCCATGCCCTGGTCCAAAATCCCCCTCCAGCTCTCTGGGACCCCCTTTAGGCACTGGAAGGGTCCCTGAGGTCTCCCTGGAGCCTTTCCTTCTCCAGCCTCTGTTCTTTGTGATGTTCTGCCACTGTTCTACCTCCAGCAGGTATTTCTTAGTCTGACCCACCTTGTTTCCTGTTCTGACCAGGCTTTGTTTGAATTTTGAGCTGTATTAGATGTTTCTAATACAGAACTGAATTAGATGTTTAGATTTGTCCCCCCAAAAAATGAGAGTTCACTTAAACATCACTTCAGTGTTGTAGCTTTCCCATGCTTATCTCCAAGCTTGAAGGAAAACCACAGATAAACCCCCACAGCTGCTATTATTGAAATGTAATTGGGCTGTGTGAGTGAGAGTTTTTAATGAGTTTGTTTGTTTTAATCTGAGGATTAAGCAGTTTGCCCTCGTGGCTCCAGGGAGGTGGGTGCAGATAAGCAGGGCAAGGAACATTTTCTGCTGGAGTTGCTCATGGCTGGGGTCCTTTAGCAGGTGGGAGAGTGGCACCCATGGGGTTATTTTGGGAGCTTTTGGGGTGCTGCAGGAGGGGGATCAGGATGGGGAAGAAGCAGGAGCTCAGACTAGAAATGATTGAGTGGACTCAGTTGTGTTCTCTTTGGCTCCTCTTAGTCCTCTCAGGATCTGAGCTAAAACCTGGAGACTGTAGCATATAAAACCAGACCTACTCCCCAAAATACATCATTTGTGATGGTCCAGGCTGGCTTTGTCTAGAAAATGAAGCTGAACTTAACTCTTGGCCTGTTGGTTGTTCTGTTCCCTGCAGTGGGATTGAATTGAATGCTTCTGGAAGAAAACAGCAACAGCTTTTTCCAATGAAAATGGAATTAGTGTCTCTGC